TGGAAGGATTTATAAATTTTAATTATTATCCAGTTAATAAGATCATTATAGCATTAGTAACATTAATAATCAGACATAAAGAGATTTCTATAATACCAATATTGGTTATTTAGTTCTTGTCAGTCAAATAACTATCAGTTATTCAAATTGCATAATTGAATAAACTTTTTATCAAATCATTTGAAATCTTTTCAGGTATATTTCTTTCATTTGATTTTGATTTCTTCTTGATAAGCTTATACTTCATGAATTCTTTTAACACTTTAGACAATTTGAAATAATATCTCTCTAAAGTTAACATCTCTTAATCTTCAGTTTAGAGTTTCAACAGAGATCCAAACTTCTTTGATAATGATTTTAATATTATTATTATCTTGAAATTCTTATTATTTAGGAGTTATAGTATTTTAATTATCATATTGTCACATCAGGAAAATCTTCTTCTCCAAGTATTATTTTTCAAATTTACTTTCAGAATCTTTTTCTAATTCATCTTCTTCAGAACTGATATTATCAAATATTGATTCTTTTCTATCATCATAGATAAATTTAATAAGTATTTTTTCTTTTTGATCATCATATTCAAAGATGAGTAGTTCTTTTCAGATATTAATATTAGCTTTGATTTTGTTTAAAAAGTTCATACTCATAATTACTGAGTATATTTTTATTTCAGTAATATTCACTTTAGTAGGAATCATAATTCTATTAATGTTTAAAAGTAGGTTATTAATAGTTTCAAGAGATTATTAGATATATTATTTATATTTGATATTGAATTGCATTATATTTTTAATTTCTTATCTTAAATAAAGTTATATATAGTAACACATCTAGAGTACTGGTATTAATGATTAAATTAATAATATTCTTTCTAACTTTTGTTTCACACCAAGCAGATGTGATTTTGAGTTTTTGTCCAAGTAATACTCTTCTTTTTCTTTTTGATTTTAAGATTGTAGCTTAGTATATTTCTTTTAATAATTGAGTTCTTTGTAAAGATAAGATCTGAATAAGCTGAATAATAATTATATTTGCTTTCTATTGGGCCAAATCTTCTAGAATCTCATATGATTCAGTCATGGTAGCAAGTACAAGTAAAGTGATTTTACTTTTTTTTTTGTGAATAATCTTTTTGATGAGTTCTTCTTCAAGAGTTTTAAATAATTTAGCATTATTCATATCTTAATCAAGAATAACTTCAGGAATATCTTCTTGTTCTTCTTCTTTATTATCATTAGGTTTCTCATTTTTAATAACTGTTTCTTTATAGGATTAATCTATAAATCTAGTTTCATAAGAAGTAATTCTGGAATTTTTGTATTTCCTTTTAATAACCAAGTATTCATATGTATCAAGTAGCAAATTTACATTATTAGATTTGGCAGTTAATATTTGAATACTATCAGTAAGAGCTTGTATTTGAACTAATAATGTATTTTGATTATTATTTGTATTTTAATTATTACTAGTATTTACCTGATTTAATAATATATTATTTTATTGCTGATTATTTCTATTAGTTCTTGGATGATTATTTTTAAAGTTATTTTGGTTATTCTGATATGATTATAACTGAGAACAGTTAGGATGAATATAATTTGGTTTATCACAATTATAATAGATTGATACTGATTTAGAATTTTGATTATTGGATCTATAATCTGAATTATTTATATTATAATTTGATCCTTTGCTAGTTTTAATACTTTCTATTCACTGATTAAGATCTTGAAGTGTTATCAAAATAGTATTTAATATTGAGTTATCCTGGATTTGGAATTAATATTATTTTTAGATTGATATATTTGCATCTGCTTTTTCTATTTTTGATAACTTTTACTATATTCAAGAAAGTTCTATTAGCTGAGATCTAAATCTATTTTCTGATCTCTGGTTTCAATCCTCTTCTGTATATTTGAATCTTATATTCTTCTGGATATTCATTTTTAAGATCTACTTTATAAAATAGATTAATGAATTTATCTATATATTCTTCCACAGTACCAGTCTGTTATAATATTTCAATTTCATCTTGCCATTAATCAATTCTTTCTTATATGTGGAATTGAGTTGCAAATTAATGACTAAAATTATATGATAGATCTTAATCATTATTTCAAGCTATTAGTCAAGTAGTATCATCTCTTTTTTTTCATTATACCATAAGACAGTAGCATCTTCTAGGTATCCTTTAACTAACTGTATTTTTCTGACATCTGTAATACTATTAGCTTGAATGGTAATGTTAAAGTTTTTGAGTCACTCTGTTGAATCTTGATCATTTTCTCAGTATTTTCTAATTGGAATAATAATTTTTTCTATTAGTCAGACATTCTAATTAGCTATTTGATTGATGAGAGCTTCAAGAGCTACAATAAGATTATTCAAGTTATTATTATTATTTTGTTATACTATTTAATTATCTTCTTTTTCTTCTGATTGGTTATTGCTTTCTGAATCAGTTTGATTATCTTCTTTTTCTTCTGATTGGTTATTGCTTTCTGAATCAATTTGATTATCTTCTTCTAAATCAGAGTAATTACTATTTTTTTCTGATATTGAAGTTATTATAAATGGTGTTGGCAAATCTTCTGAGTTTTTGATTTCAGAGTAATATCTGTCAGTATTACTATGAACAGAAAGAGTTCTTGATTAAAAGATAAAATCTTGATGAATGAACTATTAGTAGAATTATTCAATAAAATCAAGTTATTCTTTTTGAGTATTAATTCTGTCAAATAAAAAGATATTTACTAGTTATACTATTCTTTATTTTAATCAGCTAATGTATATTTCAGTAAGTCAAGTTGAATTAATTCTTGAAATAACAGATATGTGATTTGATTAATTGATACTGCTCTAATATATTCTGTAAGCAAATGAAAAGTGTAAAATTGTAAAAAGAAATTAAATTGAAGAGGATGATAATAGGGATAATAGTCTTGAGAGGATATTCTAATAGGATAATTAGAAATTTGATGTGTTTCAAGATGATAATTAATAGATAGTTTAATAAAAGAATAATAATTAATTATAAAAACTCAGAATACAAGTATTTATCAATTATAAATAAAGAAAGAGTATGTAAAAAGTAATATAAAAGTATATAAGAAAAATAAAGAAATATGAAGGAAGTTTTTCTTCACAGAGAGGATACTAAAAATATGTTATAGCAAATTGATAAGTGAGATTTCATTTTAATTCATCTTAATGATATAGGATTGGGAGAGACTGAAATAATTAAAGGTAAAGAGAGAGAAATTAGATTATACTTTTAATAATAATAAAGATCAATATTTATGAATATTATCTCAAAAAGGATATAAAATAAAGAAAAGAATAAATAAATCAATGAAATTATAAAGATTAACTGAGTGAAGCCACTAGTAATCTATATAATTCAAGATTTTAAATGCAAGTTATTAATCAAAGAAGGCTATAACTAAGGTAAAGATAAAAATTATAATACAAAAACTAAATAACTAAACAAATAAAAAGATATGACTTATTTATAGTAGAGATCTTTTACTTTCCAAAAATCAAAAATCAACTTTGTATAGTCAAAGAAATAAAACTAAGTGAAAGAAAGGATACTAGTATAATTTGAAAAGAAATCTTTTAAAAAAATTATTATTATTATAATAATAAACTTTTAAATTATATTTTCCAAATAATTCAATCCAAAACTATTTATTTCAAGTTAAGATAGCAGATCTTTTTATATATTTTTCAGATATTTAAATTATTATAATATTACTAGCTAATACTATCTAATATATAAGATATAATTAAAGTACTATAGTATAAATAATTATAAATAGGCTATGTTAAAGTATGTTAAAAGATGTCAAAGAATATTGAAGAATGTTAGAGTATATGAAAGAATATTAAAAGACATGAAAAGATGTTAAATGATATGGAAAGATGTGAGAAGACGTAAAAAGACATGAAAGGACATGAAAGAATATTGAAAGATGTTAAAAGATAAGGAAAGATGTTTAAGATTGTCATCCAAGTGTAACTGTTCCACCAAAATTAAAAATGATTTTCCACTATATTATTCTACTATGTATATGAGTATCATATTACAAGATAATAAAAATATAGATCCCAAATATTAAATAAAATATAATGTTTAAGAATAGAAACATGATAATAAATATAGTAATATATGATATAAAAATAGAGATATTTATAAAATAAATGAAAAATATAAAAATATGCTATTTTGCATAACCAGGAAAAGATTAAGGAATTAAGAAATTTTATGTTACTATGGTAACAATATTATAAATTTATAAAAAATTCAAATTATTTTATAATTAATAAAAGAGAAGATATATAATAAAATTAGAATTAATTAATTTTACAGATTACTGAATTATAATACTATACTATGTATATAAAATAAATAACTTAATAATTAGTTTTTTAATTAGATTTTCTTCTTATTTTTATTTATTATTTTTAGTATATACTTTTTTTATTTAAATTTATATAATTTATTTATATTTTTCTTATTTATATCATAATAAGCTTTAGAAATACTACTAATTAAGTAATTATATATTAGTATTTTATATATTTTTAAATTAATTATTTAAAGATACTTTATTCTGTAATTTTATTTTTATTTTTAATCTTAATAAAATAAATATAAGTTTATATATAATTAGATCTCTTTATAGTCATATCTTTTTATAGTTATATTTTTTTATAATCATTTTTTTAGTTATTAATTAACTATAATTAAAAAAATCTCTATAATCATATCTTTCTTTAGTCACCCAATTTTATTTTCCAAGTATGATGATTATAAAATCTTGATTTATTGTTGTCGTTAGAATAAAGTTTATCGTTTATATATATATATATAATATAATATATATATTAATATTTTTGTATACAACCATTTTACTATGACTACATATTACATTAAATGTTTCTAATAAAATATTATAACTACTTTTCTATTTCACATCGAGCGAAATAAAAAATCAGAATTCCCAAACTCCCACATCGTGCAAATTATCCGGTGATATTGACCGTGTAGGCGGTTTTTTTAACCATGAATGCCGTTCATGTGATGTGGATATTCTTGGTGGTGTCGAAGTAATGTTGCTTGTACCTGAATATACACTAGGTAACGACGATGATGATGGTGTTTTATTGCTCATTTCGTCGTCCATTTCGTCGTTTATCGTTATGTCAATCTTGCCATCATTTTCATTATTATAGTTTTTTGTTGTCGGTGTTGTTAAATTAGGAAAATTATTGTTGGACTGTGTTGTCGATGTTGTTGATGACAATGAAATATTATTGTTACCATAATTATTGTTAACAGTCCGAGGAACAGTTGGTAACAATGAGGGCGATGATGATGAGTTAAGAGCCGAAGGAAATATTGAGAGTGACTGCTCCGATATTAATAATGCAGATTTATTATTTTTACTAATTGATCCACCTCTATTGAAGCCAGTTATGTAACTGATATTCGCCATTCCGACAAAAGCGGTAGATGAAACTCGGTGAAGTGGTTTATCCCTGTTTGAAGTAGCCCTTTCGTTTTTGTTATTATTGATGCTGTTATTTTTATTACTACTACTATTTCCATTGCCATTGCCATTGCTATTGCCGTTGCCATTGCCATTGCTATTGTCATTGTCATTGCCATTACCAACGTTATCATCTGCGTCATTTCGATTTTGATCCTTTATTATTTCTAGTTGATTAGTCACGATTGGTCTATTATTTATTACTTTGGGTGCTGTAGTATACTCCAACACGGAAGCTTTTTGTCTGCGTAAATTCCACAACAAAGTCCAAATACCCCGATACTGCTCATTTGCATAATTTCCGGTGGCAAACACCAAAAATATGAGACAATGAACAACTAATTCCAATATTATTTTTACACTACCAGTGAAACGTCTATCATCGTATTGAAAAAACTCGATAAATCCCATAATACTTATTGGTAAATCAAGACAGGAAACGATAAAACACCAAATGTACATTCGACCAGCGATACTACGAGTCAATATTTTCTCGTTTGCTGCTGTCGTGGCAACTGTACGCTGCACTATTGTATCGTCACTTAAAGAGTATCGTCGTCGTTGTTGTTCATGTTGAAATCCGTATTCTAATTTTGGTGATTGAACAGGTGTCGGTAGTTCTGTTGCTTGAGTAGGTTGTTTTAAGTATCGTGTCTCAAATAATTTTATAGCGAATGGAATAATCGCCATGACTTGAAATTGAACAATTAATATCAGATTAATGTTTCATATATTAATATATATATATATATATTAATAATATATATCGATATTGATACAATGGAGTAACAACTTACAAGATAACACGAATGCCGGAAAAATGGGCAGATACGTTGGTACAATTCTAACCAAAAATATCGTCCATTGATATCGATTGTTTGCAACATGAGTTCTCACTTGACATACACTGAGACTCTCCAGTAGTTCAAACGATGGTTCCTCTCCTTTGTTCAGCAACACCACCACCAAAATATTCAAGAATGTCAAAAGATAAGGAGCTATTAAACACAACGCTCGATAAACCCATTTCAGTTTCTTTCCCGCTTCCTTTCCTTTCACCAGCGTCATGTATAAATCAATCGACAATGCTAATGAAACTGTGAAATTTGATGTATGTTGCGCGGACAGAATCGAACCACTTATGCCACATAACACTTTCTGTAACATTGTAAAATTATCAAGAGCATCATCAGTGGCAGTGGAGATACCGGCAGTAGCAACAGCGAGAATTATCGAGAAACTGAATAGTTGTCCAGTCACGCCGAGACATATTAGAATAAATGCATGACGTTTTTTTTGAATGTATGTGGTCGCGCTACTTAACAAAAATACGACTATGGCGAGTACCAATAACCAGATTTGCATTTCACAATTATCACTTTTTTCTTTGTTGAATCTTTTGTTCTATTTTTTTATTATAGTTTTATATTATCTATCATTTGGTGTTGTTATAATTGCTGTCGTTGATTTTAACGATCTTCGATTTAAAAGATCATCGAAAGCGTAGTAGTATGCGAGTTAAATAGGATTTTTTGTTTGTTCTATTAATTTACAATAAGAAAATATAAAAAAATAGTAATAACAAAAAGCAAGGGTACAAAATTAAAAATACAAAGGAAAAGTTTTTATACAAAAAATCTTTTATTTTTCTATGGTGAGTTAGTATTACAAACACAAGGCACATCAAACGAATTTAAATTTGCCAAACTATGCATCATTATGTCGTGCTCAATGACCCGAGAATTGAACTCGTGCGCTTTTTTTATCGCATAATTTAAATTATTAATGATATTTCGAGAAGAAAGTTAATTAAAGCATCAATACCATCAATATATTCTTTTTCTGTTAGATTTACAACGCCTTCACACATGTATTAACGTTATATACATGTACTTACCACCACTTTGTTTCTTTACTCTTCCTGTTGCCATTTAGAACTTTTAAATGTTTCTTTTTGATGATCGTCAAATTTAATGCATATGCGAGTTACTTTAAATGATATTTCTATATTATATAATGGGGGCACGTCCGGAATTACGCATACAACGATTGGTACATTCCGATAAATGTAACTGTATAGCGATAGATAATTAGTCGTCCAGGAATTTTATGTACGGTTTTCGTGCATAGAGACACATTATGTGTTTTTTTCCCTGCATTTTTGATTTTGGAAAATATATCGTACCCTATTTACAATTTTTTAGTTGTTCATGTGTACATGTATATGCCATCGATATACGAAACACGTACATGTATTTTTGCCAGTTTTATAGTATCGACATAACGATAAGCACCAATTTAGAAATATAATTCAATTCATTTACGTTAAATTGGCAATCAAAATATTGCTGGCATATACGCACTACTATTGCTGTTATATTTTTTAAACAAGTGAATTACCGAGAACTTCATATAAAAATATCTCCGTCATTTGTTCTTTAGCCTTATCCTATCCTTTTTTCTACCTCATCTGCATTCTCTTTCTCGTCTTTTAAGAAACTCAAGTATTCTTCCCGTCCTCTCAAATAGCGATAATCGATTTAAGCTTTCTGACTTTATTATTGTTATTGCTCTCATTATCGTCGCTAGTTTTCATTTCTTTCGACGCTATTTTTACAACCTTTCGTATTTGTAACTGAGGTTTTGCTTTGATGCTTCTGATAAAGATAAATCCGTGATGGCTTTAGAGAATTTACGTCTCGCTATTAGATGTCGATAACAAAGCAAGGATTAGAGTAATATTTTTTGAAGTCTAAAACTACGTAATGATTTATCTCCCACTCACGAGGTTTTTTATTTCGACAAGTCACTCGTTATAATCGCACTCTTTTTGAAAATCCTTTATAATAAAATTATAGTCACATCCATTATAACAACATTCTTTCAATGTGGCCCGACTGTGTTTCAGATGGTTGATAGATTAATTCCTATTTCTCATAATTTTTCTTCAGTTGACTTCGTTCATTTTAGCAGCAGATAATAGTTAATCTTTTCCTTTTCTTGAACCATTTTCCTGTTCTCTTTGATCGTATAAAGAAGAAGAAGAATGCGAGCAGTTCTAAAGTGTCATTTAGACATTCCAGCATTATTTAATTAATCAATGACTCATCATCCTTGATTTGATAGTTAAACAATTTGACTACATTACCGAACAAATAATACGTGTACCAGCTAAAGCACACAGTAATCATCTTTCTTGAAAAATTCAAATTGAATTGATTCCTGACATGAATGGAACTATTTTGTGAATAACCTGTATTTTTGATTATGGCTTAGCACACAATATTTGTAAAATTTTCAATTGTATACGGTCAAACCGATACCTTGATTAAAAGTTTTAAGTTCCTTCACTTAGAAGACGATTACTGTATTAAGGTGATGTTGTAACAAATGCTACGTTGAAAAGAATTCCAATATTTTTACGAAATAGAATAAAACAATGTGATATTTCCCTGATATGGTAATTGACAACGTGTAGAACAAATCTGGTTTGTTTTTACATGCATCACCGTGTGTACATGTAATATAAAAAGAAATTAAAATTTTAATATACATGTAAATTAGAAGTAAAATTAACTCCATTGCATTTGTACTGTACAAATTGTCTAAATTTATCTCATCGAATTGGTCCATTAACAAGGTTGCCTTATAAACTGTTCCATTTAAAAGGTTGTAGTAAATTCACTTTTCGTGCATTCCTTAATTAGACTGTGGATATAGTATTGCCTTATGCATAGTATCCCCCCCCCCCCCCCCCACGATTGAAGGGCAATTTACGTAAAATACCCGGATATTAAACGTGGTGCAGTATAACATGTATCTTACCGTTATAAGTTTAAAGTTTAAATTTACACGTACCATTTCAAATCGGGTATTGAATACAGTCAGATAGGTAGACTTTGTTTATGCATATACTTTATTAAATTGCTAAATAGTATTCATAAAATTTCTATCTGCGTGCAAAAGTCTGATTCTGTTTGCGTTTGACAAATTTAAATTCTTCTTTATTAGTCTAAGCTTAATAGCAATACATGTATTTTGATAACATAAAATATCAAATACACAAGAAAACTTTCTAAGCACTATTTCATTACTTTTCTAACATTAGCACATCCCATAAATCTCCACTTATGATAATATCCAAAAATTTCACCAGGGTAAATTCCCGAAAACGCTTGCCTTTCCTGAACATAAATCGCTGTTTTATTCAAATTAATCCTCGAAAGCCACGAAATAACTCTCGTAGCAAAGACGCTGCCTGGAAAAGCATCCGAAATTTTCCCTTTCGGTAAAAAACTATCGGTAACGTCGAAAGCGTCAAATGGGATAATGATACCAGTGGAACAATTCTGTCCCGAATAAGCTTGGAAAAGGTATTGTCGTTTTTCTGAAAACTTTGTGTCACCAGAATAAGAGCCCCACACTTGTGTAAGGTGGTTGTTATCATTGACATAAAAATAACCATGTAGAAGGGGATATTCAAATTGTATGATTGCATTAACGGGAGGGGGACTCGAGCTTGTTGGCGGTGGATTTTGTAAAGAAGCACCAAAGATGAGCAATGCAAAGCCAAATATGAATAATAATGTAAGAAAAAGCGCAAGTCTCTGAAGTAAAAATGTGGACGACATTTTTTGAGTTGAATTAAACAAAATTCGGTTTTTAGAGCTATTCTTATAGTTTAATTTGAATCAATAAAATAGCTTTATATATCATTGATCGGTACTAAATCTTATTTTATTATGGTCTTTTGTATTAATATAGTGCCAATGCACAATAAACAAATCAATAAATCGAAGTCAAACAAAAGCACTTTCAACTTTACTATGTAAAATTTTTCTCTTAAAAGTTTTTTAGAGGGAAAGAAAAAACAGGCAAAGTACATTGACGTTAAAAATATTTCAAGACTCAATTATAAATGCGTGTTTCTAAATTATTCAAGAGCATTGATTAATCTCGCTCGAATTTTTCATAATTTGTTAATTTCTCTGTAATACTTTCATCTTCTGTAGTCAATCTTTATAATTTCTTTGATTTATTTTATTTTTTCTTTATTTTATTCCTCTTTATTGAGACAATATCTGTAGATATTGGCACAGACTTTAGAAATCTTAGTCATTATTGAAAGTTATAGTTTAATTCCCCTCTTGTTACCTTTTATTATTTCAGTCTCTCCCAACTCTATATCGTTAGGGTGAATCAAAGTGAAAACTCACTTACCAATTTGTTGTAACATATTTTTGGTCCTCCCTCTGTGGAGAAAAACCCCCTTCATATCCCTTTTTATATTCATATATTTTATATTTCTTTATTATATTCTTTTCTTTCTTTATCCATAACTGATAAATATTTGTATCTTGAGTTTTCATGACCAATTATTATTCTTTTATTGGATTACCTATTAATTTTCATCTTGA